AGTTAGCAGCTGAGCTCTTAACCAGTGTACCACCAGGGCTCCAGCACTCAGCAAGTGGCTTAAAAAATATTAACCTTGTATTTATTATACATGCTTTTATACATCGCTTTATGTCAGGGTTTCTCAATCTCAGCACTATTAACATTTTGGTTCTGATAATTCTTTGTTGTAAGGACCATATTGTGCATTGTAGGATGTTTAGCTGCATCCCTGACATCTACTCATTAGATACCAGTAACACTCCTGCCAGTTGTGATGATCACAAATGTCTCTGGACATTGCCAGATGTCCCCTGAAGAAGGTGTTCTGAGGACAGCCCCCAGCTGAGAACCACTGCCTTCATAGATAATAATAATGTTAATGTCTAGCATTTCTTGAGTGCTGACTGAATGCCATGCACCATTCTGAGCATTTTACCTTAGCTCATTTTCACAACCACCCTATAAGCTCTGTACTATTACTATTCACATGTACAGTTGAGAAGACTCAGGCCCAGAGAAGTTAAACCACGTGTCTGAGTTCTCCCTCCTAGTAAGTGATAAAACCTGGGCATGTCTGGCTCCAAGTACTCCTACACACCATGCTCTTCTGCCTCTTCCTTTACTCCCTCATTCTCGCTACGGGCTACACAATGTTCCACTGAATGGATGTTCACAATTTACTTAATCAGTCACCCCAATTAATAGATATTTAAATTTGTTCAAATTTTTCATTATAAAAAATAACTGCAATGTATACTGCAATGTGTAAATTCTCGTGTGTATATCTTTGGACACTGCTGGTAAATTTCTAGAAGTGTAGTTGTTGGCTCAAAGTGTAACACATTTAAAATTTGGATAAACCAAAACCCATTGCTATCGAGTCGATTCCAACTCATAGTGATCCCACAGGACAGGGCAGAACTGCCCCATAGGGTTTCCAAGGCTGTAAATCTTTTCAGAAGCAGACTGCCACATCTTTCTCCTGTGGAGGGGCTGTTGGCTTCAAACCGCCGACCTTTCAGTTAATAGCCGAGTGCTTAACCACTTGTCACCAGGGCTCCAAAATTTGTATAGACACTACCAAATTGCCCTTCAAGGAATGATTCTTTATGTTTTTTCTATTCCATTCTTCTTTATCCTTCTTTCATCCACTGTCACAACAGGGTCCAACCCTATTTTCAAGTGCTTTACCCAGACCACTTCTGGTTTTAAGGGTGGTCGAGGGACTCCTCGACTGTTAGTCACTAAACTTGGGCTCTTCCTAACTGGCCTCAGAGCAAAGCACCAAGCACATTTTTTTTTTAATTTAAATATTTATTTTTGGTGAAAACAGACACAGCAAAACATACGCCCATTCAACAATTCCTACTTGTACAATTCATTGACATAGGTCACATTTGTCATGTTGTGTCATAATTCTGGTTATCTCTACCCAAATTATTTCACCACTATGAAGTTAGACTCAGTGCCCCCTAAGCTTATCAGCTATGCTTTGGAATTACTGTTGTCAGTTTGATCTCATGTAGATAAATCTTTAAAAAAGGGGTATGCTCAAGGCAAGCATTCTTTACTAATTGAGCTAGATTGTTGTTTGGTTTAATGATGGCTTCAGGGGATAGTTACTGTTCAAAGTTTAAAGATTATCTAAGGGCACTAGATTTGGGGGTTCCTCCAGTTTCAATGGGTTCAGTAAGTCTGGATTCCATAAGAATTTTAAATTCTGTTCCATATTTTCCCCCTTTTGATCAGGATCCATCTATTGAGATCCCTGATCAAAGCGAGCACTGAATACGTTTTAACGTGTAATCAGCAGGCTTTTATAGGTCTTCATATGACTAACTTTGGTAACACTATTGGTGGTGTTCAAGTGATTTGGGGGTGGTGGTGGTGGAGGAGACCTGAAAGCAAGTGTTGGTCCCCCATTTTCTGTGAAATCTGAGGGTTCAACAAGGATGAGGAGGGAGTGTGTGGCCTTGCTGTAGCAGGTTGGGTAAAAGCTGTCACTGTTTATCATCTGTGGGGTTGAGAGGTTGGGCTTGAGCCTGGCTCTTTGCTGATTCTCAGCAAGTGAGCAATAGCATACACTGGGGAGATCTGGGCTGGGGTCTTGCTTCTGGGGACTCATTTAAAAACGTCTTCCAGGCAGGACTCTCCTGAGTAAACACCCCTTTCTTTTCTAGGCTGACCAAAAATGAATTCAATGATGAAGTGGCAAAGAGCTTGGCAGAAATGCTGAAAGTCAACCAGACTTTGAAACATTTATGGTAACTCAAACAACCTTAGAATTTCAGACTATGTGACTTTTTAAATCTTTTTGAGATAAAATTCACATACCATAAAATTCACCCTTTTATAGTGTACCATTCAGTGGTTTTTAGTATATTCACAAGTTTGTGCAACTGTCACCCCTCTCATTCTAGAACATTTTTATCACCCCAACAATAACCCCATACCCACTAGCAGTCACTCCCTATCCTCCCTCTGCCCTGCCCCACCGCCACCCCAGAAACCACTAATCTATTTTCTGTCTCTATGGATTTGTCTGTTCTGGAAATTTCATATAAATGGAATCATACAATATATGGCTTTTTGTGTCTGGCTCTTTCACTTAGTATGTGCCAGAACTTCATTTCTTTTTCTGTCTTAGGTTTTTTATTTTATTTTTATTGTGGTAAAATATATATAACAAAAAATTTTCATTTTAACCATTTTTACGTGTACAATTCAGTGGCATTAATTACATTCACCGTGTTGTGCAACCATCACCACTATCTATTTCCAAAAGTTGATCACCCTAAACTGAAACTTAGTAACCCTTAAGTAACAACTCCCCACTCTCCCCTCTCCTCACCCCCTGGTAACCACCATTAAACTTTTGTCCTTATGCATTTGCATATTCTAGATATCTCATACAAGTAGGTCATACACTATTTGTCCTTTTGTATCAGACTTCTTTTACTTAAGTTCTCCAGGTTCATCCTTATTGTGGCATGTATCAGTATTTCATTCATATTTTCTTCCATTCTGTGGGCTGTCTTTTCACTGTCTTAATTTTGATGAGGTTCAATCCAATTTTACTTTTTATTTGTTGCTTGTACTTTTGGTGCTATGTCTAAGAAAGCATTGCCTAATCCAAGGTCATGAAGATTTAAAACTATGTTTTCTTCTAAGAGTTTTTTAGTTTTAACTTACATTTAGGTTTTGATCCATTTTTAGTTAATTTTTTTTAATGTAGTATGAGGTAGATGTCTAACTTCATTCTTTTACATGTGGACCTCTAGTGGACCCAGCATCATTTGTTGAAAAGACTATTCTTTTCCATTGTATTGTCGTGGCACCCTTGTCAAAAATCAGTTGACCATAAACATATGGGTTTATTTCTGGAATCTGTATTCTATTCTGTTGATCTATATGTCTGTCCTTATGCAAGTACCACACTGTCTTGATTACTGTAGCTCTATATTAAATTAAGTTTTTAAATCAAGAAGTGTGAGTTCTCCAACTTTGTTCTTTTTCAAGATTGTTTAGACTCTTCTGGGTCCCTTACATTTCAGTATGAATTTTAGGATCAGCTTGTCAATTTCTGCAAAAAAAGCCAAACTGCTACTTTTACGTCTGTTTGTTTTCTCCTTGGCTTCCAGACTTTTCTTTTATGCCTTCCCCTAGGTACCAAGCCAGCCCCTTGAGGGAAAACAGAGCTAGAACAGGGCTAGGAAGAGGATCTTGTCTGATTTGTGCATGCACGGAACACGCTGACCCTGGTTAAGGTCAGCCCCACCAGGCACAGGTGCCTGAGCACTGACAGGTTTTATGGGACCTTAGGTACTCTCCTCCTACCTGGCCCCATGCCTCGTCTTGGCTGGAGGCAGCCTACCCTGCTCCCACAAGGTGTAGGTGGTGGAACTGCTAACAGCTGTGAAGGTGGTGACGGGAAATCAGGGACACTTAACTGAATGTAGAACTCCGTGTCTAATTCCTGGCTCTATTTTTGCTCCTTTCACACAAGTGTCCAAGCTGCACTTGGGGTCATGCTCACTGGAAGATCATCATCTGCACCACTGAGCCAAGGGGTCCCAGCCTTTAGAAGGTGCGGCTGGGAGCATGAGGTCCCAGCTGCAGCAGCACCACCACCAGTAGTCATCTGTGCACCTGGGCAGCAGCAGCGATAGGAGCTCCCTTCCACTGAGAGCTGTACTAGGAATTGTGAGAACCACTTCATACGTATCCTCCCACTGAAACCTCACTTACCTATAGAGAAGGTACTCTTATAATTCCCATTTTATAGATGAGGCAACTGAGGTGCAGGTAGCTAAGTATCTTCAGAGTCCCATAGCTGAAAAAAGTGGGTGGGGGTGGGGGACTTTTTAACCACCATGCTACACTGCCTGTCTGAGGGGATAGGCCTTTTCATGCTTCATCAGTCACAACAGCATGGGCCCTATTCTTACTGGTAGAGGGCCTTCTTGGGTCAGTGCCCAGGGTTTCTAAGGGTCAGATTTTTTTTTTTTTTTAATTGTGTTTTAGGTGAAAGTTTACAGCGCAAGTTGATTTCTCATATAAAATTTTATACACATATTGTTTTGTGACATTAGTTGCAATCCCCACAATGTGACAGCATGCTCCCCCTTTCCACCTCAGGTACCCTGTGTCCATTCAGCCAGTTCCTGTCCCTTCCTGCCTTCTTATCCTGCCTCTAGACAGGAGCCGCCCATTTGATCTCGTGTATCTGATTGAACTAAGCAGCACACTCTTCACGTGTATTATTTTTTGTTTTATAGTCCTGTCTAATCTTTGTCTGAAGAGTGGGCTTCGGGAATGGTTTCAGTTCTGGGTTAACAGAACGTCTGGGAGCCATAGTTTTGGGGGTTCTTCCAGTCTCTGTCAGACCATTAAGTCTGGTCTTTTTAATGTGAATTTGAGTTCTGCTCCACACTTTTCCCCCACTCCATCCAGCCCTCTCTGTTGTGTTCCCTGTCAGGGCAGTCATTGGCGGTAGCCAGGCACCATCTAGTTCTTCTGGTCTCAGGCTGGTGGAGTCTCTGGTTCATGTGGTCCTTTAGTCCCTTGGGCTAATATTTTCCTTTTGTCTTTGGTTTTCTTCATTCTCCTTTGCTCCAAGAGGGATGGGACCAGTTGATGCATCTTAAATGGCTGCTCGCAAGCTTTTAAGACCTCAGACGCCACCCACCAAAGTGGGATGCAGAACATTTTCTTAATAAACTTTGTTATGCCATTGACCTAGATGTCCCCAGGCCCCACCCCCAGCTGCTGTGTCCCTCAAAGTGTTTGGATGTGTCTAGGAAACTTCTAAGGGTCAGATTTAGCAAGAGCCTTGTTCTACAAATAACCAGGAATGAGCCTGTGGTAAAGCGTAGCTATATCACTGCCTCCAGCTGCATTTATTTCCTGGTTGGGTTAGAAGTAGAGCTGCTCCAGGGAACATTTCAGGAATTTCCTGGCTTTCTAGCCATATCTGCAGCTTTTGTTTCATTTGGGTCATTGCCACCCAGCATAATGGGCACAGTCATAGAGGTTTATGATAAATCAGAAACGAAATTGACACTTTTCCACTGGGACCCATGAGTGGCAGCATTTGAGAACTGTTTCTCCTCCCTCCCTCTTAGATGTTGGAGAGGATGTGGTACCATCTTAGAAGCCTTTGTACCCCCAGCCCCACCCCTAGAGAAGTGGAGAACGACCAGTTGGCAGCTACTGTTAAAAATTGTCTTGCCTTTCCCTAGCTATGTGGAAGACTGCCTGTTTGCCTGATGTATTTCTCAGAATTTTTTATTCAGACAAGTTGTCTCTAAACATTTTTGATTAGGTGCTCCTGCAATAAAAATGTCAAGTGCACACATACACACACATACCCATTGCTGTTGAGTCAATTCTGGCTCATAGCAACCCTATAGAACAGGGCAGAACTGCCCTATAGGGTTTCTAAGGAGCGGCTGGTGGATTCGAACTGCCAGCCTTTTGGTTAGCAGCCGAGCTCTTAACCACTGTGCCATCAGGGCTCCGTATATATATATATATACTCATGTATTATACTACCTACGTATGAATGTACAGATATATTATGCTCACTATAAAAATATACAAATAATTAGAAAATTTCAAAGATGTCCTTTATTCTAGCGGACCTGATTAAACAATCTTCTCCAGATTAAAAGTCATGTGGACACAGTTCTTCCCTTGACCCTGTCTCTTATTCCATTATACCCTTACAACTCCCTAACGAAGGGGGCAGATTTAATCCAGTATTATGTATTTCACACAGATATGTTCTTTCAGGCTTATTCAGAACCAGATCACAGCCAAGGGGCTTGCCCAGCTGGCAGATGCATTGCAGGAGAACACTGGCATAATGGAGATTTGGTAAGACCCATCACTACTTGTAACAATAACAATAATGTAATAACAATAACAATAGTATAATAACTAATGCCAGGCACCATGTAGGGAAGTTTCCATTTATTCCTCATCTTTCCAACAACCCTGCAAAGTACATGGTACTATCTCCATTTCATGGATGTAGAAACTGAGGCCCAGAAGGGTGAAGTAAAACTTGTCCAAGGTCACACTCAAGAGGAGAAACTAGAACTCGGCCCAGACTGCCTGGCTTCGCAGTCTGTGCTTGCCTCCCCTGTGCCAGCAGCTGGATTTGAGCTGACATATGCTGTTTATCTGTTTCCTGTTTCTGCTTTGAGAACTTGCTTATGCTAGTTGAAGAAAACCACATCGTTTGCTTTCATACAACATGGAGCCCCATTCTTTATTGCCTCCCACAAGACACACACTCCCACTCAGCAGCCCCCTTTATAATTTAATTGCCTGGGTGAGGTGGGACTGGGTCCATACTGGTAGATGCATCTGTAGAATATACACGGTGTTTTTGGTAGTAACAACACTTACCACTTTTGTGTACCTGTTTTATGCAAGGTACCATGTTAGGTGCTGGGAATACAGCAATTAATGTGACAGAAGGGGCCTGGCCTCTTAAAAGTGCTGGCTTAACCAAGCTGAGAACAGAGGGTTTTGGCACTGGCCCTGTGTACCTGAACATGGGCTCGTAAGTGCTTTTGAAGTTTGCTGTCAGCTCCAGGACCGGTGACAGCCCTTCAGAGCGAGGCTCAGGCCCATGTGGAGAATCTGGTAGGGGCAGAGCTGGGTTTCCGTTGAAGACACAGACCACAGGACCTCATGCTCCCACAATGTTGAGATATATGGGCTCCCTCACTGTGAACCCAAGCCCTCAGCTCAGGGGGTAGTTTCTCATTAGCTATTTTCTTTTTTCATGACTGGGGAGAATTTCACAACTGAAAGAACCCAAGACATCAAGGTACAGCTCCCTGGCCTCAGCCCAGGGACGGATTACCCAATAAGCAAGGTACACATGGGCTTACTTGTGCTTACTTACTAATTGGTAGTGCATAATTTCACCACATCAAAGATGTTCTGAAACCCATGTGAAATTGTGCACTACCAATTAGTAAGAAAACAAAATTAAGCCCGTGCATATGTTGCTTACTCGGAGCCCGTGCATACATTGCTTACTGGGAGCCCGTGCATACCTTGCTTACTGCGAGCCCATGCATACATTGCTTACTGGGAGCCCGTGCATACCTTGCTTACTGGGAGCCCGTGCATACATTGCTTACTGGGAGCCCGTGCATACCTTGCTTACTGGTTAATCTGCCCTTGCCTCGGCTCCTAAAGCCTTTTAAACTCTGTTTTGGAAATCTCTAGTGGATCATAAAATCAGTTTGGTGGGTTGCAACCAGCATTGTTTAAAAAAATGAAGCAGAAAAGAATACCATAGTATGGAGAAGAATTATATTGTTCATCTTTTATCTTGGGCATGCATGTGAGTATGTGAGTATGGATGCTGGTTCAAAATGTAAAATGTAATTCTTATTTTGGGTCACAGTCAAAAAAACCTTTTGAACAACACTGTCATAGAGAATAGAGAGAGATTCAACAAGACTGATGGAGGACACTGGGCAGACGTGCCTAAGAAGCTGAGCCCACTCAACCTGGAAGGCATGTTAGAGCTAACGGAATGTTAGTCTGCTTTTCTCCCCTGCTGCCCTCACACACGTGACCCCTTGCCTAGTACCACTCCATTTCCTGTTCTTTCGCTTGAGCAGAACAGGCAGAGAAGAAGAGGAAGGTGGCAGGCAGGCTTCAGAACAGTTTGCAAGTGAGAACTTGTTTTTCTCATAGGAGAGTTGTAAGGATATGAAGCTGCTTTAATTCTGTCAAGCTTTAAAATATGCATTTACTGATTCTCAATGACCACTGCTCCTACATAAGGAACTCTTACATTAGGCCAGGTGTCTTTAGCTTCAAAGAAGCCTGAGATAGGCGTGCATGTAGGGGGTGAGGAGGGGAACCTGCCAGATTCTGAGAGGGCAGGACGGACAGCTGCAGTGCCAGCCTTGGGATTATCTGCAGTTCAGTGCTTGGCCTGTCCTCAGAGCTGCTCAGAGTGTGTTTCTGTCTGTGTGATTTCATGGGACTGGGCCCTGTTCAAAGGCTGCCACGCCAGACAGTTGTGGTCAAGCGGGCAGGGGAGCGGGATTCAGGGAGCGGCTCTGTTTGGAGACATCAGTGGCCAAGATGCACTGGTCTCCCTCGATTCATTATCTGTACGGACATTATGGATATTTATTTATACCTCATCCCTGTCTGAAAAGAGTTTGCAGTCTAAAGTGCCTTGATGAGTTCTGCATTAAAAGTCAGAAAGTAGCAGTGTTCAATGACTCGAACATTGTAAATGATAGCATTTATTACACTCATTATAATAGCTTTTTCATGAGGCTGTCTCCTCCAGACTGTGAGCTCCTCGACAGTAGGGACCGTATCCTGGTCACTGGTATGTCCCAGGGACAAGCACTATGTCTTCAATCATTCACTGAATAATGTGTTTGAATGTGCCAGACACTGTGCTAGCATTGAGAATTCAGTGCTGAACAAAATGGACCTGGCCATCTAGTGAGGGAAGATACATAGTTAAAAAAAAAAAAAAAAAGTTCAAATAATTACTTAATACAATTGTGATTAGTGTTATAAAGGGGAAGGCTAGGAGCGGAACCTAATACAGGATGAAGTTTTAGGGAAGGTCTACCTAAGGAAGTGGTATTTAAACTAAGCCATGAAGTATGAGTAGGAGTTAGTCAGCTGAGGCAGGAGGAAGAGTGTTCCAAGTAGGGAGAACAGCATATGCAAAGGCTCTGAGGCAGAGAGAGCAAGTCGTCCTTGAAGAACTACAAGAAGGCTGAAGTGCCATGGAGTTCAGACAGTGTGGAAGAGAGGAGCAATGGGAAGCCAAGGAGGTAGGCATAGATAGACCATAAAAGATCTGTGGGTCATAGTAAGTATTTTGGTCTTTATCCTAAAAGCAGTGGAAAGTCATTGAAGTGTTTTAAGCAAAAAAGGGATACTCAGATTTGCACTGTAAAGGACCACTCTGGCTCTTCTAGGAGAAGAGGTTTGAGGAGGCCAGAGTACATGTGAAGACACCAAGTAGTCAGCCACTGCAGTGATCCAGAAAAGAGAGGATGGGTGCTCAGACCAGGATAGTGGTGGTGAAGAAATGGAGAGGTTCCAGGGAGAAATCCTAGGGAAGTTTAGGGAAAAATAGAACTTTGTGATAGATTCAATATGAGGATGAGGAAGAAGTACCAAGGTTGATTCCAGGTCACTAAATTGCACAGCTGGATGAACAGTGGCTGTTATGGATTGAATTGTGTCCTCGAAAAATGTGTGTCTACTTGGCTAGGCCATGATTCCCAGTATTGTGTGGTTGTCCTCCAATTTAATCATCTTATGTAATTATCCAATGTGTTGTAAATCCTAACTTAGGGTTGCTATGAGTCGGAATGCACTCGACAGCAATGGGTTTGGGTTTATGATGTTAATGAGGCAGGATTAGAGGTGTTTATGTTAATAAGGCAGGACTAAATCTACAGGATTAAGTTGTATCTTGAATCAGTCTCTTTTGAGATATAAAAGAGAGGAGTGAGCAAACAGACATGGGGACCTCAAGCCACCAAGAAAGAAATGCTGGGAGTGGAGCGTGTCCTTTGGACCTGGGGTTCCTGCACTGAGAAGCTCCTAGACCAGGGGAAGATTGATGACAAGGACCTTCCCCCAGAACAGACCGAGAAAGGCTTCCCCTAGAGCCGGCGACCTGAATTCGGACTTCTAGCCTGCTAGACTGTGAGCAAATGAATTTCTGTTTGTTAAAGCCATTCACTTGTGGTATTTCTGTTATAGCAGCACTAGATAACTAAGACAGTGACCATTCACTGGGCTGGGGAACTCAGAGGAGGATTACAGAGCTAGGGAACCTGGGGAGATGTGGTTACTTTGAGGTGATGTGAGCCATCCAAGTGAAAATGTCAAATAGGTAATTAATTGGCTTCACAGGAGAGGTCTTTGAATAGGATGTATTCCTTAATTCCAGAGTCAGTGATGCATGAGTGCGTTAGGAATGCATGTTGGGAAGAACTGTACAACAGTCCTTAACACTTTACTTGGGTTCTTTGTTTTTCTCCTTTTCAACAGCCTAAATGGAAACTTGATAAAGCCAGAAGAGGCCAAAGTCTTTGAACACGAGAAGCGCATTGTCTGTTTCTGAGGGGACTTTTTCCTGTACATGGGTCTTTGCCCTGGGAGTCTCTTTAGCAGAAACTCTACAGTCATCTCATTTTGGATGTCTTAAAGGGGTCTGCTGAAATGGGACTGTCAGGCATTACACTGCCTTGATGATGCAAATTATCCTTCCTTGCAGATGCCAGAAAACAGTGTCTTGTGAGCTGTTTTAGATAATGTGAATATACTACGAAGAGACTTTAATGCATATCTGCAATTATTTTTATCTGAAACTAAAGGACTAAGACTTTGAGGAGAACAGAGGAGGCCATACATACAACAGAGAAAGTTCATACAAAGGACCAATGGGAGCGAGTATGTCTTCATCGATACTGATACTGATGTCTTCATTGAAGCATTGAGGACTTGGTGCAAAGTTTGTGCTAAGCTTCTAGGAAAAAAGATGTTCAACAAACAAGAAGTATTTTACCTGAAGTATTCCCTTCCTCCTCAGTGCTCCCTCCTGTGTTAGTATTATTCCCAATGCACAGCTGTAGATGCTGAGGTATGTATAGGGTGGGGACTTGAATCACCCAAGGTCTTGTGGAAATCCAGTGCCAAGAAAAGGGCTCATCACAGGCTTTTGTTTCAGTCCTGGAGTCTCAGTGTCTGTTTGCCGAGGTCACAGGCTGCCCTCTTAGTCGGTCTATGAGAAAATACGATGCCTTCATAATGCTGAGTTTTGTGTGGCTAAGCTGACCTCCTCTGGAAGGCCAAAGTACTATGGGCCAAGGTGCCCTGCCATAGGAAGAGGAAAAAATCGATTCCCGTCCTCCAACAGGAACAAGGCTTTTGTGGCCCTGGTATCCAAATGGAAGCTTCTCTCTCCCTTTCCCTTGATTGGCTGGGAGGGTAACTGAGTTGGAGCTGAACTGGCTGACAACCCAGCTGGCAGAGCACAGCAGTCAGACACTCAACACCATGGTGGGCACGTGGTAGATGCTCATTGCGGCGGAGCGGGGGGAGTATTACCAGATAACCTGTTCTTTTGCCAATTCATTTGTTTATAAAACACTGAAAACACTCACTAGTCTAGTTGCCTGAGTCTGAGATTTCTAAAAGGGACTCAGCCTAGTAATCACGCTGTAATCCCTGTGCTAGGTGGGGCCCTGGTGATGTGCTACGAAGGAACGTCACAGGTGTCATCAGTTTGGTCCTTCCCAGGCCTCTCCACCTACCTTGGGACAAAAAAAATGCCAAGGTAGCATGTGAGGCCTCTCTATCTGGCCTCTGAAAACATACAGGTGGCTTCTCAGAGAAAATAATTTGTGAGTCAGAGGCAGGGCTTCAAACCAGTTCATTCTGGTTTGATCCCTTACTGAGAATTTGCCTTTCCACCCTAGATATACTGAATCGGAATCTATATTTTGAATCACCTGGGGATCTTGTTAAAATGTAGATTCTGATTCAGTATATCTGGGATGGAAACACAAATTATCAGCAGGGTGTCGAACCAGGATGAACTGGTTTGAAGCCCTGGTCAAGGGAGGCTGGGGCCAGGATATGCTGAGTGGGCCAAATTTCACGGCCCTCACCACTGTAACGTGGCAGGCCCTGGCAGGCCAGGTTCCAAGTCCACCACCTCCCTCAGCTATTCACTGCTGAGTTGAGAACCCAGGTGGGTCTGTCACCCACTGTGGGAAGAGGAATTGAGTTTATAGGGGCAGCTCATGAGAGGGATAGGGTGACGGGGCCCTCCAACAAGTACCTTTGAGTTCTCAGAGTTCTCAAGCCTGGCTTTGAACAGCGGCCCCTGTCAGGAAGTTAGCGCCAGAAGTTATGGGGAAATCCTAGTCAGACAGTCATATGGTGGCAGTTTATGTAAAGGCACTACCATGGTGGTTCCTGACACCCTTCAACCTCCCCCAAACCACAGGCTGCTGCCTGATTTATCTTAATATTTGTGGACCTAGGAGGGTTAAGAGACCGAACCTCTAGGATTTATTGATCACTCACCATGTACCAGGTACTGGACGTATTTCTAATCCTAACATCCTTAGGAGATAGGTAAAGCAGTATTATTTTATAGATGCTGAAAATGCACCTCAGAGAGTTTGAGTCAAATATGTCCAGAGTCTTAGAGCTGGCAAGTAGTGAGGCCCTGATTTGAACCTCGATCTGACTCCAAACTCTCCATCACTTCTGGGGCGTTCCATTCCCCCATGTCCTCTCCTTGTTCTTTCCTCTGCTGACTCCAGACATTGTCCGCCAGGACACACACAGCCCAGCAACTCTGCCCGATTCATACTGCTCAGTCCACTTCAGGGCAGCACAGTTGCCTAAATATCTTCCATCTTGCCTAACCCTAATGAAGCCAACCACCTTTTGGAGACTTTCAAATGATTTCCCAGTCAAGGAAATAGGAACTAATTAAAACATACGTGGGGAGCTACCAACATGCCAGAAGTCTTTAAAGCCTCCAATTTTTATAGTCTCTGGACTCAGGTACATAACAAGGTAGCCTGGGAGGCCTTGGAATTCCAGGTTTCTCCCTTCTCCCTCTGCCCCCTCAGCAGCCCCCCCCCCCTTCCTAGGCCTACTTCCTTCCTTCCCTGTGTTCCCTCCAGCCTCAAACCCAATGATGAGACAGACACATGTGGCCACTTGGGCCATACTGGAATGTAAAGAACTTCCACAAAGGGTTTTGAGTTGTTTTACACCTTACATATAACTCCAGTGAGTCTTCCATCTATTGTAACATCTTCCTTCATACAATCCTGAACGCTGACCCATATTCATCCATTCACCCACTCAGTGGTAACTGTAACCTGTGGTGTACCTCCAGAGCTGGCCATGGGACTAGTGCGTTACATGTTGCTGCACTGAAGTTCTTCGGGGTGGGTTCTGCCTGAATCCACAGCTTAATAAAGCACTTCACCTTCGTCTCTCCTATGCTGCCTCCCGACACTGACTAAGCCCTGCGTGCCAGGCACTGTGCTGGAGGCTGGTGAGGAGTAGGTTTCGGATCTTCCCCAGGAATTCAACTAGAGGGAAAAACAGAGAACTAAAATCATTAACCAGGAAGGTAAGTGCCAATAGAGACATGTGCTCTGAGTTCTGGATGCATGGAAGAGTCAGGTAACATTAATGCAGTGGCAAGGCCTAATCTTCCAACACACGGCACAGTTAAAAGCAGTTCATGAGCCACAGGAGATAGTCCTACATTTGAATACCCTGCCAGGAAACAACCAGTAGAAGAAGGTGGGGATGGATTTCCAGAAGAGGCAGTCAGCGCACCTTGGGCCCTCACCAGCCTCATCACCTACCCTGCTCAGCATTGAGGTGGGTGGGAAGCACAATGGCATGAGCGTGGCATGCTGAAGGCCAGTGGTGCTCAGACGGGACTTCAGACTTGGTGAAAGAACCACACTTCTCAGCTGACCAAATTCATGTTTTATTAAACAGCTAAAACTAAACTCTTGAGAGTCTAAAACTTACTCAGAAATCACCAAACATTATTGCTCTTAACCTCTTGCCACTAAGTCGATTCTGACTCATAGCGACCCTATAGGACAGAGTAGAACTGCCCCATAGGGTTTCCAAGGAGCGGCTGGTGGATTCAAACTGCTGACCTTGTTTTTTGGTTAGCAGCTGAGCTAACTGTGCCACCAGGGCTCCTTATTGCTCTTAGAGACTATCAAAATTAAAATTGCTGCCACTAAGGAGCTAGGAACTTGTGTGGTGTTGGCTTAAGTTCCGTCTGGAAATACTTTGGTCTTCTAGATGGTGAACACTGGATTGCCTATCCCTACTGTAAAACTGAAACTGGGCTCCCAGTTTGCTGGAAGGATTCACTTTTACACATAGGTGAGTTTCTGGAAAGAGAAGTATAGACTTTTCCTAATTAAGAAAAACAAAAAACAAAAAACAAAACTGAACATAAAAAATAAATTCTATAAACTTGGGATATGGCTATTTCTTTCCATAGGACATCTTGGTTCATTTTGGAAAAGATGACAGCTCCTATTTTCTAATATATATATATGCCATGTCCATGCTGATTTGGAACTTGTGAAAAAGCCCTGTAAAGTCACCAAGTGGCCAGAGTGGTATTAGCTCTATGGAGTGCTCACTCTGCCATTTCCTAGCCACGTGACTTGGTGCCAAGTCTGAAGACTGCCAGAATCTCGATTTCATCCTTGAAAAAATGGACATCAGAGAGTATTGACCTCCCAGGGTCACTGTGAGGATTAAATGAGACAATGCGTGTAAAGCATTTAGCATACTGCCTGGCACAGGGTCACTATTACACCCCTAAACTTGACTAGCTAAAGTAGATTGAAAAGGGAGTAAAATTTCATAGCAAGAATCTTTGACTTGATAATCCCACTTCAAAGAAATAATCCTAAAGAATTTTAAATCTCTAGAACCACATTGTCTACAGGAATCACAACCACCACAGCAGAGCTGGAAAACCGAATACCTAATGGTTGGAAAATAATTAAGCAAATTGTCAAACTGATAGAATACAAATGATAATTATAAACAGTATGTATCAACATGGGAAAATGCTTGATTTACAAAACTGCAAAAGTACACTGTGACTATAACTATGGAAAAAGACGTCTCAAAGTAGGCAAAGCATGATGGTGATAGGCAAAAATCAAAGTAGCTGTATTAGCATTGTGTTATTATAAACATTTAAAATTTTTCTTTTGACATTGTGATATTGTTTTTACAACAAAAATCACTATGGGACAGGCAGAAAAAAATCAAGGAAAATTTTTTTTGAGATATTTTGATTGTTATTTGCCAAAAAGGCAACAAGTAGTCATGGCAAAAATCAGAAACTTGTTTAACATCCTCACACTTATTTTATAATTTTCTATTGTTTTTAAGTTTTTTTATACAGATAATTGGGGGCTCAAAACCTTTTTAGTGTTTAGTGCATCTAAAAGTCTTACTCTGGTCTTGGGTTCAGTTAACTCAGTTTTAAGGTAGAGAGAACCATGCTGTGATGGCCCCTGGGCCCTGCAGCTCTGCCAAAAAGTCCATGCTTCACCCTTAAACTATTATGCTCCTTAACTTTACTGGCTAAAATAGATTGAAAAGGGAGTAAAATTTCATGGCAAGAATCTGCTTGGTGACATGAGCTTCAGGCTCCTTGAGAGCCAATTCCACTCTTATTAAAATTCTTCTCCATGGACCTGTGATAATGCTCATAGTTTTGCCTTTCAGCTCCATAGCAAGGTTTTTTCTGGAAGTGAACAATTAGTTACTGGAAACAGACTTGTGCCACACCTGGAAGTGGGCCAAAATATCGATGAGCCAAATGTTCCCTCCCAGTTCAGGAGCTGAGGGGAACTGGGACACCTGCAAAGGCTTTTGGGCCTGGCTTTGTGAGGTGGTGCTGGCCTTGGCTCTGTTCTTTACTGGGCAATGAAGAAATGGATTCATCCCCCAGTATGCAGTTAGTTGGCACTTAAATGGAAGTGCTCTTTGGTAATAACGAATGAAAATTAACTGGCCAGGTTTTTCACTGACAAGGCTAGGATATTACAGGAAGCTTGATGTTGAAATTTTGGGACTTTATTTCAAGAACTACCAGCCACGTATCTGACCTTGTTGGAAAGTTCCCTAAGCTATAGTTATTAGCCAGTATGGGCAGTGCCTAAATACTGTCTAGGATGAAGACTGGAATGGAGTTTATTCCTATTCAAAGGAGACGCTGCTGACTTATACACATTGTTCTCTACTCCCAGCTGCAGGGAAGAATTCATAAATTCATACGTTGGCATCTGTTTTAAAGTGGCACTGTGCAAGATAATCACTTATTAGTGTGGAGGTATCAGTGTCTTCAAAATCAGTTTCCCTTGATTAAAAAAATGTATATATGTGTGCATGTAGGAGCCCTGGTAGCACAACGGATAAGCACTCAGCTACTAGCTAACCAAAAGGCTGGTGTTTGAACCCATCCAGCACCTTTGTGGGAGAATGACCTGGTGATATGCCCCTATAAAGATTACAGCCTAGGAAACCCTACAGGGCAGTTCTCTGTCACATGGGGTCACTATGAGTCAGAATCAATTCAACAGCAACCAACAACATGTGTTTATCCTTTGCCAAAACAAATCCAGCCTATCTGAACACATGGGAACCACTTCCTCACAATCACCTATGAAGTAGGAATTATTTCACAAATGACGAAACTGAGGACTAGTGAATATGAATATGTATCTTGTCTTACTAAAATCAGTGTCTTAGTCATCTAGTGCTCCTATAATAGAAATACCGCAAAGAAAAATTTAACAAAGAGAAATTTATTTTCTCACAGTCCAGGAGGCTAGAAGTCAGAATTCAGGGTGCCAGCTCCAGGGGAAAGCTTCTCAGCACAGGGACCCCAGGTCCAAAGGATGCGCTATGCTCCTGGTGCTTC